GCAAATGTACAACGTTTCGACAGGTTTTGTCATCATCAGCTGTTATGTTAAACTTATATTAAAGTTTTTCTTCATTATCCATTCAAGCCGTTTCCAACCATTATTAGTCTCAAAGTGGGTTCCTCGTCATCGAATATAAGATCTATCAATGTTTTGTCCAACCAGCATTACATCTAGTTTTAGTTAAATAATTTCTTTATAGTAAGTCAAATGAATAAGCGTGAGGGAAAGACGTCAGTATGAGATAATAGGACGTTGTTAAAAATAATTTCAAGTTTATCGCGTTTTGGTAAAAATACTTTAAGGCCAGGGAAGAGTTAAGGAATTTTGTTTTGTCTCATGAACCTTACTGTAGAACCATATCTGAATTTCTGTATACCAAAACTTGTCAAACAGAAATTTGAAGTGCATCTCTTTCTTTACATTCAGCGACAAATTACCACAACAGCAAATATATCTGGTTAGTGGTGTAAATCTGATCATTATTAACTTTGTAAAAACTTGGTTGTTGTTGTGGACTTTGAATCTGATTGGTATTAACGTCGTAAGGTACTTGATTTTGATGTAGAGTTTGGAGCTTACCAATATTAACGCTGTAAAGTACATCATCATTATTTTAGACTTTGGAGCTGATCAGTGTTGATGCTGCAAAAATGTTTGATTATTGGTGTAGCGTTTGGAGCTTATTAGCAATAGCGTTGTAAGGTACTTGATTTTGATGTAGAGTTTGGAGCTAATCAGTAGTAACGCTATAAAATGTTTGATTAATGATGTGGAGTTTGGAGGTGATAGTTGTTAAATATGTAAGACATTTGAAACATGGTATCTTAACTGCATTTCGAAAGTTTCAAGTAAGTTAATCTAAACGGTAGATATCTTCTAAACTCCATTTGGATCATTAAAGTAGAGTAGTACCTTTGGAAAGTAATCTATATGATTTAACTTCAGACAGGTAAGATGGGCTCTTTGATGACGGACTTAGAAATCCTTGCCTTGCTAGTAGCTTGCCTTTGCCATGATTTAGACCACAGGGGGACCAACAACTCATTCCAAACCAAGTAGGTATATTGCTAGTCTGTACGTATTCGTACACGATGTTTGATTTAACCAAATATTTAAAATGGCGTATTTAAGATTATAAAAATTGTACTTACATAGCCATAGAAATGTTTCTACATTTGCTTTTCAGAACAGATTCTCCTCTCGCCATATTGTACAGTACTTCCACCATGGAGCATCACCATTTTGACCAGAGTATTATGATACTAAACAGTGAGGTAACTTATTCTTATCAAAATGTTATCATACTGAGTATTCATTTACTGCAATGTTGTGATTTGGATCAGCAAGATAACTCATTTTGATTTAATAGAAAAAAAAAGGAATAAAAGTTACTCTTAAATATACTGGAAAACAGCTTTAAACCCAAGATTTACTTATTACCTATGTATTAAATAGTTGGTACATGTAAACAAGAATTATACATACAGTTAACGTAGGAGTATTTATATATTCATTCTGAGTTAGTAAACTCAAGATCACATTGAAATCTAATTAATAAAATTATTCCCATTGTGGATTAAGTTTTTAAATTTGCATACATATTATTATAACTTTGAATACTTAGGTAATTAATTTCAAGCATAATGTATTGACACTATCCATTAAAAGCGTTATGAATTAATTATATTGTGTAAGACAACTTTATTGAGAGAAGCTATACAATATTTTGGTTTTTGACTGAAGAGCACCAAGTCATTATTGTCACATTTTACTAGTGTTTTAGCAACTTGTAATTTTGTTTTGTAAATACATGATCAATTAAACATTTTTTTTTCAGGGTAATAACATTTTTCAGTCTTTGTCTCCAGAAGAGTACAAAATAGCAGTAAGTGTGATCGAATCGGCCATCTTATCAACAGATCTTGCATTGTATTTCAAGTATGTTTAAAAGTTTTCGTTTCTGGATTTTTTTAATTCACAGCTTACAAATACTTATTGTAATTTATCTGTTCCCTAACTTTTACATGTTATTATTGATCTAACAGCTTTTAGAATTTTTAAATAAATTGATCGTTCAGAAGGATCCTGAGAATAAGTGTTTGTAATGACTAGAGAAAGCTTGAGTTCGTTATGTTCCCTCTAGTGGTGAAAAGGAACTTATGAAGTTGATCTGTTCCAATAATACAGTGTTGTGTTAGCCATATAATTTTAAACAATCTTTCAAAAATTATCTTATGCTACTTATTTATCACATACTGCAATATAGATAAAGAAAATTTAGCGAAAGTAAACATGTGGTATATTAACAATAAAAATTCTTAACTCCATGTTTGCGGACTTATACCGCTAAAAACCTGGTTTCGATACCCGTGGTGGGCAGAGCAAAGATAGCCCTTTGTGTAGCTTTGTGCTTAATAACAAACAACAACTTACCTACGCAACCTCTCGTAATTTGTGGTTTTCAAAACAATTCTTTTTTCGGTAATTTTTGCTATCATTTACAATTATGGTAACGTTTATGACATTACATTTTTAGCTTCAATTATTTGTATTGCTAGACAGGATATATTTATGTGGTAACCATAACGATAAATTTATGTCAGTGGACTTCTTTTATTGTGTTATTCAAATTCAGACAGTTGAAATTGAAATTGTTCTAGTATTCAGAAAATTACTTTTGAATCTTAAATTTATTTTCAGTATTTAGAGGTAAATGTTTAACTTAAGTCATTTCTCAAAATGAGACTAAACAATTCAATCCGAGAATACAAAGAGTATTTCCTGCTATGAGCTTATTTTTATAGAGCTCACATTTCTACATCTGTTGGTGTTATCTGTGAGACTAAACATTACTGTTTGTAAATAAATCTGATTTTGACCTGGATTTTGAAAATCCAATACACGATAAATCATTATAATAATATTTTAATAGCATTTTAGCAATTTATATATTTTGTGTTGTAAGTACATTATTAATTAAAGAACCTTTCAGGATAATGATATTTCCCAGTCTTTGTCTCCATCTGAAAGCTAAGTGCTAAATATATAACACTGTATAGTGCTATGTGTTTATCGGTGTTATAAACTTAGACAAGTTTTTGCCCTAGTCTCTTATTCTATAACACAAAAACAAACGTTAATGTGTAAAACTATCTCACCCAATAAACGTGTATTTTTATTCAAAAACAACAACTTTAGTAGTCAGTAAACTTATGCTATTATTATTATTAAGATAATAAAATTCTCTTAACTCTCGTTCCATCAAGTACATAGAACTATAAAATATTATGTGCGCAGATCCTATTTATGTCTAAAAAGGAGAACTTGTTCGAATATTGGAAACTAACAAGAACACTGATAAATTTGTCAACCTCTTGATACCTAGTTTTAACATTTTATGTTTTTGGTCAATATACTGTACTTCTCAGGAAAAAGTATGGGTTCTTAGAGCTCGTTGAAAGTGGAGAAAAGGACTGGTCCGAACCCGTTAAGAAAGATTTATTGAGGTAAGGGAGGTATAATATACATTTAATGGCCATTATGTTATGAGCTACAATAGTTTTCGTGGACTTTAATTCTCTCTTACGTGGGTGGTAATTATCGGGTTTTTTTTTATCAAGCGGAGTGTTACTGTGAAGAAACGAGCACGCTTCAAACAATGGTTATTAGATAACTTGCGTATGTACCTGATACAGCTAGAAGTGTTACAAGACCATAATTAAAGATTTGAAAATAAACAATTGACTTAATAGGCACATAGAAACACTCAAGATGCGATTCCCAACGCAAAAAAATTGATAGTTTCGTAACAGACTTGTAGGGATAAAATAAATGGTGAAGATAAAAAATGATATGTTTGATATTTTAAAGAAAATTTGTAGATTGTTATTGTATATTAAGGTTTTTTTTTGTTCAAAACAAAGATAAGAGTAATTCAAATAAATAAACAAAAGAGAAATTCAGTTTGTTTTAATTTATAAGAATACATATTTTATTGACTTTCTACAATATTAAACAAAGGATGAAAATTAATATAGTTTCATGAGGATAAATAATTCCCTTGAGAGAATAAGCAATCTTATGTTGCCCAAATCATATGTAACATAGGAGCACAATATCGATTTAATTAGTCGTGGAAAACTAAGGCTTGAAGACGGGAAAATAAAAAGAAAAACAACCTTACAAACAATTTTTCATTTCATTTAACCTTCGTGAGAGAGAGGATTAACAGATAAAAATAATCCAGAGAAATACTGTTCTTTAATATACATGTGTGTGTGGCCGGGCATGGCCAGGTGGTTAGGGCGCTCGACTTGCAATCTGCGGGTCGCGGGTTCGAATCCCCGTCACACCAAATATGTTCGTCCTTTCAGCCGTGGGGGTGTTATAATGTGACGGTCAGTACCACTATTTGTTGGTAAAAGAGTAGCCCAAGAGTTGGCGGTGGGTAATGATGACTAGCTGTGGCATCTACAACTTACGTTACACACACATGTTATGAATTTCGCGCAAAGCTACACGAGGGCTATCTGCGCTAGCCGTCCCTAATTTACCAGTGTGAGAATAGAAGGAAGGTTGCATTTTTGTTAACTCTCTTTAGAAATACATTATATTTGGACTGTTATTTCATTTTCTGCACTAATTAAGGATTGCTGAGCTTTTATAGCTTAGTAGCATTTATTTTAGAAATTCTTTAAATGTGATTTTCCTTTACGTTTAGGGGAATGATGATGACAGCATGCGATGTTAGCGCCATCTGTAAACCATGGGAAGTTCAAAAAAAAGTTGCAGAATTAGTTGCCAGTGAATTCTTTGAACAAGGAGATTTAGAAAAAGAACATTTGAAAGAACGTCCTAGTGTAAGGAAGTTCACCACAATAAACTTAAGAAATGTTTTGATAAATAATTAATAAAAGTAATTAAGTGTTAAATTCAAGTTCAACAGAGTTTCAAAGTCAAAATACAACGGTTATCTTGATTAGATTTGAATAACCAAAAATCAAAATAACTTAACAGTTATTCGAATTTGTCTCGCAAACACATTAGAACATGTTCTCAATCAGACAAAAGATTATTTTGGTATCCAGCTTATTTTCTTTTATTCTTGTACATTTTTTATGTATTGAATAGATAGTAAAATCCGATGGTACTTTTTATGCATATAATCAAAACTTTTATACAAATCGAGTCCATACATTTATGCTTCAGTTTTTGCAAACTAAACGAAACTGTATATAACGTACAAAATGTCCAGATGAAATTACCCTATTATTCTAAAAGCTCTTTTTTTTTTGTCTCCTTATTTTTATTGTTTCAAATGCAAGTAAGCCTCATATCGTATTAAAATAAACGGACTTACAAGTTGCTTGTTCGAAAGATATTTCCTTCAAGTTTTATAATATAAATACTTGAAGATTAAACTTATAATGATTTGTAATAAGGTTTATAGGCCTCACTTTTAAATAAGAAACCATCGATAATACCATTTGAAATTGTATTTTGTTTTTCTGGTCTTAACATTCACACAAGTTTTACTATGTACAACCGATAAAAAATTGTGTGAATTTTTAAAAAAACAGTTCTTTCTAATATTTAATTCATGGTCTTTACACTATTGTATCTCAGTCCTTTTTTTTACTGCCGAGTCTAAAATGAATACACAGAATTAATTCTAACCTTACGTTTTAGGCAATGATGGACAGGGAGAAGAAAGACGAACTGCCACAGATGCAAGTAGGATTTATTGACAGTATATGCATGCCTGTGTACAAGGTTAGTAGAAACTATATATTTCTTTAAATACTTTTTTGCACATCTACATAAGTATTTGTTTAACTATACAGCTAGATTAAGAGCGAGTGTTTTTTTATTCCAATTATAGGGAATCTTGGGTTAATCTACATAATTAATTTTTTCCCCAACGTTCATATTATTTTTTCATTCTTGTTTTTAAAAAAAAAAAAAGTTCGTGATGTTGTTTGTGTTTATACGCCTATTTTTTCTTGATTCACGTGCTGGAAAATGTAGATTACAAGAACGAAAATTCTTGATCATTTACTTGTTTGTTTTTTTGCTGGAAAGTGTAAATTATCTTCCTGAATTTAAGAAATGCTATTTTAGTTTACATTATAACGATTTCAAATAACACGTTGTTTCTAGGTTAAAAGTTCTTTGCTTTAACTCTATAAAATGTTAAAACAATAAATTGATAAAAATCATAATTTACAAGTCACAGTTTTTATTTTATAATTACGAGAAAAAAAGTTTCAATTTCTCTTCCACCAGGGTTTAACCGAACTACAACCAGCTCTCAGCTCTCTTTTGACAGGTTGTGAAAGTAATCGCCAGAACTGGCTATCCTTGGCTGAGGATTACGAAAGGCGCAAAAGTTCTACATCAGAAGAGACGAGAAATGGTAAATTATTTCTTTATGCTTCAAACAAGATAACCGAAATATATAAACTATGACCAGTCTGTTTGAATGGCTTCTTGATATAATTATTGCATTGTTTATAATTTAAAAGTAAAGAAAAATGTAGGGATGGTATTTGCATTATCCCTTCATATATAGCGATATATATATTTATAACTATTCAATCACAAGTTAGTGTAATTTATCTTATTTTTGTCTGTTAACATTCCAATACACTGTGTGCCTGAGCTATTATGTAAGGATAATGCATATGTCGTCCCTACTTTCTTGTTTTCATTGTTTTTTGATGGATTGATATTAGCCATCCCTACATTTACTTCCTTTTTTGAAAAGTTTTTTCTTTACTTGTTTTTAAATGCAGTGTTTCAGTAGACATATGAAGGTCGTATTTATAACCAAGTTCTAAATACAATGAGGTTCTAACTGTAATATTTATTGCTTATCTATTATTGGTTGATAATTCCTGTTTCACTCTGTACTTAAGCGTTTTAAAGGAACACCAAATTTCTGTAAGAAAGCAAACTTCAAAGGGTAATGATAACAACTTTTACACTAGAATTATGATTTTTTTTAAATTACTACTAGTTATTAATAATACTTATAAAAGCGGATACTCCGTTTGAAACTATGTTACCTCTGTGAAAATGGTTAACACCATTGTTTTGGTTTTTGAGTTATCATGTAATAAAAAAGTAGCAGAAGATCTTTTTTAGAACAAGAAATTCAAACTTTTTGCTATGATATTTACAGACATTCCCAGAACTTGTGACTCAGTCATTACATATATATTGTTATGAAAGGAAACACTGTATATTATTGTAAATTTCTGATGAACTATTGAAGAGATATTTAAAATATCATTTCGAGGAACAATTTGAGCCATCTCTACATAGACAATGCTATCGCCTGTCTGATAAACAACATACATTTCTGCTCGTTTTACATGTAAAAAATAGAATCAATATAGTTAGCTCAACTTTCAAGGCAAACTCCAAAGAAATTTAAAAACTAGCAAACATGTCCTGGGAAGAAATTATGAATGTGCAAACATAAACATAGCTATGATAATCCGTAATAAAAATCCAATACAAAAAATAACTTAACTTATGCTTCATAAACGTATTGCATGCGTACTTAGTGTTTTAAAATGGATTTATAATTCACCTAAGTTTTATTACAGTTTTGTGCAAATGGTTTATTTCTTTACTGACCTTGTTTTCTCTGATGTTGTAAATATCTATATATTTCTTTATGTCAGGAAGTCTGAAAATTGAAGAACAATTTAATGAATTTGAAGCAGACAGCTGCCTAAAGGTAAACATAACATAAGTATCTCTGCTATAGATTTAGCTTTAACTATACTATACTTTGATTTTATAGCCCGTATATTGCAAACAAAAGAAATATATTATGATAAATTTTGGAAGACTTAACACAAAAATGACTGAATTTTTTTAGTGTTTCTTTTACTCAAAGCCCTGTTTATCAGGTACTAAATATCTCACTTATTCTCGAAGAGTTGCTGTTGTGTTTATGTTTGCACATAACACATTGATCACTCATAACCACAAACTTTATAAAGGATCATCTCGATTTTATCATTTACAAAACTAACATTTTATATTTCAGAAGAATTTCCATAAAAATTATCTGTTTTTTTTTTTTTATAATTCAACACACCAAGCAGTCGAACGTAAGCGTAGTTAACAGACTTTCTTAAACTGTAGTGCGCAATTTAGACGCTGATCAAAACTATGCACGTAATTGTCCACCTACTGTGAATTTGTATATTCAAACCAACCAATTGTTGGAGTCTAAACTTCTGGGTCTGATATCTGATAGGCCTCAAGCTTACAAATATGCACATGCGCTTAAGAACATACATTGGATGTCCTATTTGTGAGCCCCCTCCCCCAGTGGCACAGCGGTATGCCTGCGGACTTACAACGCTAGAAACCGGGTTTTGATACCCGTGGTGGGCAGAGCACAGATAGCCCTTGAGATATATATACTTTAAAGATTACTTAAGATGACATAATCTCATTATGCTTTAACACGATGTATAAAAATCTGAACTTTGTCTCTTTTGTCCCGTTAATTACGTGATGACAGAGTGCTACTTACGTTGGGCAATGTAAGAGTTTACTTTCCACTTAAGTTATGGAAAACATATACTTATGTGTGAATAAATGTGTATATAAATACGTCCATAAAGTACACCCAACTTAGTTGCATTTAATTGTTTAATAATTTGGAAGAGTAAGAATGAGAAGCCTGTCGTCAAAACTACATCGTTGCCCGAAATAAATGACATACTAGCTTTCTCCCCTTTCAAAGCCCCCCCCCTAG